CTTTGCTACCTTCGAGATGAATCATGATAAGGATACCTATATTGGTTATGTTGAATTGGCTGTTGGAGTAGGGGCTATTATTGGTCCAGCAATCGCTAGCTTCTTATATGATTTTGTCGGCTATGTAGGAACATTTGTATTCTTTAGTGGTATAGTATTTGTTGGCATTATACTATCAAAGATTCGAATTTCAAATACCTTAAATGAAAGGACTAATAATAAGATAATTATGCAACTAGATAATGATTAGACTACTGATAAAGAGTAGCAAAATATTAAATTATTAGTAACTAAAGAGAAAGTAATTTCTGAATTAAAATATAGTGATTTCTTTAAGGATTCTGAGTGCTTTATTCTACTGATAACCGCATGCTTTGCGGTTGTATTTACTCTTTACATTGATACCATTCTTGCATTACAATTATACAAAATCTATGGGGTTCAGCAAAACTTAATTGGACTCTTCTTTTTATCATCATCAACTTTATATGTATTTGGTGTACCACTGGCATCATGGCTGACCAATTACATGCACAAGAGGTATATCATTTTACTCTCAATGGTCATTATGGTATTATAAAGCTTTCTATAAGGTCCTAGCTAAATTTTTGGAATGCCTCAATCTCTTTGGATGGTGAGTATAGGCGTTTCTTTACTAGGATTAGGTCTTGCATTAGCTTTAATTCCTCTATTGTCAGAATTAATTGATGTGCTGGAAAAGAAAAACAGATATTATTCAAATCAAATAAGTGATATGTCTTCGAGTCTCTTTAATTCCTTCTATAATCTTGGGAATTTAATAGCTCCTTTAGTTGCATCTGTGATTAGTGATATGAATGGCTACGTATTCACTTGTGATTTTATGATGATAGTTACAACTATTTATTGCATGCTTTTCTATTTCACTATGATTTTCGGTAGAAAATTAGACTGAACCTATCAGATTAAGTAATAATCACATTTTCTATAATTTAACTAATGAGACAAATAGATTTTCAAGGAATTTGTATTCTAATTTATGATTGCAATATTTAAGCCTGGGGTTTTGGGGTTTTGGGGTTTTGGGGTTTTGGGG